AACTTTGCAAAGTAAATGATTGTAAATTTTTCTAATAATAAATTTTAGCAATTTTAATAGAATATTTATTTATTTTGAGTATACCTACTAATATTTTATTTCAATTAAGCTATTTAAATCTTTGCTAACTTAAAAAAATATTGCAAATTTACAATAAATTAAATTTTTGGATATGATCTTGGGCCTGATAATTTTTCATTCCAATTAAGTTTATTTAAATCTTTGCTAACTTAAAAAATATTGCAAATTTTTTCTATATGATAAATTTCAGTATTGCAAATAAAATGATTGCCTAAATACACTGAAATATTCTTTATTTTATTGTAATTAGGTTTATTTAAATCTTTGCTAACTTATAAAAATATTGTAATTTACAATAAAATTAAATTTTTGGATATGGTCTTAGCATGATAATTTTTCATTCCAATTATGTTTATTTAAATCTTTGCTAACTTAAAAAATATTGCAAAATTTTTCTATGATAAATTTCAGTATTGCAAATATAATGATTGCCTAAATACACTGAAATATTCTTTATTTACATTGAATAATATATTTATTGTATTTAAGTTTATTTAAATCTTTGCTAACTTATAAAATATTGCAAATTTTTTTTATTTGATAAATTTCAGTATTGCAAATAAAATGATTGCCTAAATACACTGAAATATTATTTATTTTCATTGAATACTATAAATTAAATTTTTAGATATGTTTTTGGGCCATTTATTATATATATTATTTTTTTATTCATTTCAACAGTTGTTTTTGATACCAAAATTTTCCTTTGTTTCCCCAATCAAATGACGAAAGACGATAAATCAAGTAAATAGGATGGCTATAAATACATTGCTGTAGCAGTTGATTATTTCAGCAAATATATTGTAGCCATGCCTTTAAAAGATAAAACAGCAAAATCGGTATCGCTCTTCCTTTACTCGTTACTATGCACACATGGTAGGGCAAAAGTATAATAAATTTGGTAATAAAATATTAATATTATATATGGATTCAAATTAATGATCAAGGACGTGAGTTCGTGAATGAAATAAGCAATAATTTTCACAAACTCATAGGGACCATGCAGAGGGTGGCAAGTGCTTATCACCCTCAAGCAAATGCCATGGTTGAAAGAGTGAATAGGACAATCCAAAATGCACTACTAAAGTGTATTAAGGAGACTGTTTATTGAGAAAGGTATTAATATGTGTTATTATTTAATTAAGCATATTTTTTAGATAATGAATTGACAGTAGAGACTGTAATTTCTAAGAAAGATGATACAAATCTATTTCTTCCCACCAACAGAATATGGAAAATTTATCATTCTTAACGTTTTAATTTTGCGATCAAGAAAAGATATCCAAAATATGATAATGGTGTAATGGGAGATAATTTTTCTACCGAGCGGATTATTGGTGATGGAAATTGTCTCTTCAGGTATACATATTTAAAATAAATTATTGTTAATCATTATTGTAGATGTATAAGCAAAGAAGTTTGTGATGACGAATGCCACTACGATTTTCTGAGACAGCAATGCATTCTCTTTATGAGAAGCAAGGATATTGTTGAGCAGATGGAGGGGTTTTTGGGAGAACCCGTTGACAAATATTTGGAGAGAACAGGCATGGCTCAAAATGCAACTTATGGAACAGAGGTGGAGATAGTTGCATTGGCAACTATGCTTCAAACAAATATAATTATCCATACCATTTATAAATGGGCATATTAAACACCAATTAAAAAATTAAGTTACATTAAAAATTTTATTTGAATATATATTTAAGAAATTATCGCGAACATTTTGACCGCATAATAAATTTTAATTAATCTTATTTATATCGTATATCTTATTTATATCGCATATCTTATTTATACCCTATATCTTATTTATATCGCATATCTTTATAACGCATGTCTTATTTACATCGCACATCTTTATAACGCATGTCTTATTTATATCTTTACACGTCAGTCATGAATGTCTGTATTAATAAAAATGTTATATTTAATCTTTACATAAGAGTCATAAATGTCAGTATTAATAAAAATATTATATTTAATCTTTACACGTCAGTCATAAATGTCAATATCACTAAAATATTATATTTGATATTAACATGTCAGTCATAAATACCAAAATCACTAAATTAGAATCTATTTAAAACAGGGATTCACTTAAATATCTATAACAATAGAAAATATAATACTTAATCTTTACACGTCAATCATAAATGTCAGTATCACTAAAAATATTATATTTAATATATGCGCGTCAGTCATAAATGTCAATATCACTAAAAAATAATATTAAATCTTAACATGTCAGTCATAAATGTCAATATCACTAAATTGGAATTTATTTAAAACGGAATTCATTTAGAACGTTGTACCGGGCCTGAATTTTTTTTAAAAAAAAACCCAGGCCGGGCCGTATTAAATTTTAAAAAAAATCCGGGCCGGACCCTGAAAATACCTCTACAGGGCTCTTTTATTCTTCTTAAAAAAGAGAATGTGAATAGTTGCTAAGATATATAAACCCTTTTAATACATTGGGAATATAATCTAAAATATGTTTGAAATAATTCAGAGCATCCATAGCATTTTTTGGGACTATATCATCCATAGTTCATCTTATAAACAGAGTTATTCAACTAATAAGGCATCATAAGATACTTTAACATCTTCATGATAAAAATCGAACAAATATTTTTTTTTGGGAAGGCTTTTGTGGAAGTAATATTTTCAGATTGACAAGTGTTGCATGATGAATTAAAAACCATTCATTTATTTGGGTTATATATATATTTAAGATATAAATATATCTAAAATATAACTCTTCTACTGATCTTATATTAATGTTTTAACGATGAGCTTGTCTTGCTACAAGTCGAGGGGGACAAATATTAAACACGTATAGCTTTGGTTTTTACTCAACAATAACATATAAAATTCTTCATCAACATTAGTCCTAATATCCTTGAGTTCTAATAAAATGCTCTCCGCTATTCTCATCTCCTTAATCAAATCAATGTCATGTTTTTGAAAAGTAATTCATAAAATTTGTATATTTAAATAATACATTCTAATGAGAAAAAAATTTGGAATAAGCATTTGAATCCAATATTTTCTTGCTTCTGAGGAAATATTTTTTTCAGGCCATTGTGGTATTTCAGTAATAGCAAATAATCGGCTCTACTAACTCCATAAAAGCTGTTACTGTTTGATGGCGAAGAATCTATCTCGACAAAGTTGCATTTTTCTCCCTGTTGGACAAGAAGTTTCAGAAAAAATTATTATTTGATTAGAAATTTGAAAATGGTAGATATTACGCCACTAAAAATTTGAAAATAAAGTAAATATTACATTATGCCGGAAAACTTAAAATCGAAATAAATTGATAAAATAACTTAGTAGGTGAATGTGATAAATAAATGTAATTAAATATATATTTAATATGAGATAGGAATAAATATTAAAAAATATAAATTGATATAAACAATAACTTAGTAGGTGAATGTGATAAATAAATGTAATTAAATATATATTTAATATGAGATAGGAATAAATATTAAAAAATATAAATTGATATAAACAATAACTTAGTAGGTGAATGTGATAAATAAATGTAATTAAATATATATTTAATATGAGATAGGAATAAATATTAAAAAATATAAATTGATATAAACAATAATATTTTATCCTATTCAATTGCTAATTTATATTATATAGCTTTTTATATTTTTTATTAATAGATATTTTTATAAAAAGTACGATATCGAATCATTTGATGAATGATATGTAATTTATGTTTAAATATGAATAAATTTAACCTACCATGTGTATATAGATTTCGATCAAACTTTTTTAAAATTAAGCTATGACGTTTACGACATTAAATTATTTATAGGTATAAAAAATTTAAAAAGGTAGAGAATAGAACTTAGATGTTAATATAACTAAATATCAGAAATTAAAATATTATCTATCTCATAAAATAAATTTCAATATTAGAAAATTTTAATTATTTATCACTCATAAGCGTCAATATGCTAAACATATAAACTTTAAGCATCACCTGTCAGTCATAAGTGTTAATATTGCAATATATAAACTTTTAACATTGCACGTCAGTCATAAATGTCAGTATTACTAAATAATAGAAATTTTTAAACATTATATGTCAGTCATAAATGTCAGTATTAAGATTTTATAATGATATTTTAATAAAATTATAACGTCAATCATAAATGTCAGTATTACCAAAGGGAGTTAATTTAAATTTAAGTTAAAATATCACCTTACACCGGCATCTGCATTTTTTCGTTTTATGGGGGGGGGGGATTTGTCACCCCCCCCCGCTGCGTACGCGGCTGTATGTAAAACGTGATAAAAAATGATGATGAATATGTAATTTATAAATTTTTATATACTACAATTATTGAAAGATGAAAAATATTTTTATATAGATCAAATATCCCATTAATTTAACAGATTACGTCTGAGACTTATTTAATAAACATGATTTGGGTCGATTTTTTATAATGGCCCTCTTATGATTTTCGTCTAATATAAGCCTCGAAATTTTTTTATACCTTTCTGCTATCTATGAGCAAAATCTCCAGCCTCATAAAATATTATTTTGGATACTTAATCGTTCCGCTTTTAAAAATCGACCTAGCTAGTATTTATTTTTTTCCACTTAAACTTATATATGAAACATTAATAAATAAGCCTAAAATATTTTAAATTCACCAATCCATCTCTTATTTTAAAAATATTTTTAAGCTTCACCTACCATTATAAGCCTAATAATTGCAGACCTCTAATACAAATTTATTTTAAGAAATTTAAAGGTCTTAATTAGTAAAAAAAACTCCAATAGTTGTAATTAATCCAATTTATTTGCTGGTTAGTTCACAAAATTTGAATTCTGTTATCCTAATGATTTCCAAACAATTTTAATATTACATTATTCTAACTGAAGTCTGGGGTTAAATTATTAGATAGTAAAATAAAAATTTAATATATAGTATTTTGGAAATTGTGTACATGAAAATAACATGTTATAATAAATAATTATGTTTTTATTGCTTATTAAGATGAACAATAGGGACAACCAAAATAAAAAATTTTCCTGTTCTTTTAAGATATCATTTTAATTAATAACCCACTCCCCCCTAAAAAATATATATAATACATTTCTATAAACAATAATATGAAAGATAAACAAGTATAATTTAATAACAGTTTAAAATAATCCAAAATTATTTTTATTTATGGCCCAAAACTCACCTAATAGCACCCCCCCCCCCATAGGAAAATCATGGATTGTAAGTGTTAACTAATTTATACATAAAGGTCAATTTTAGAAAAATTAACAAAGGTTTGCAGGGCTGTTCATGAAATTTTAAATATAATAAAAGTATATTTTTTAAATATATATCTAATTTAATTAGTTACAACTTGCAATTTATTATAAAAAGAAATAATGAATATATTACAAAATAATGATAATTTAATCTTAAAAAATAAATAAATAAACAAATTTTCTAAGTATCAAAAATATATTTAAATATAACATTAATGTTTGTATTAATTTTTTTGATTGTTTCAATATAAGTATATTCTTTCAATCTGCTCCAGTTGCCCCTAACCTATAAAATAAATATTGTAATTGTTAATGAAATTTACAGTGATATATACTTATATAAAATAATTTTTACATTACTCGTATTTAGGAATCATTTGCTTAACTGATGATTTCTCTAATGCCTTTTTGTAGTATTCTGAAACATGTCTCAATGGATTATCAGGATTGTCCCATATAATTTTTTCTAAACCCATAACATTCATACGATGCATTAATACTACTAAATAAACATCAGCCACAGAAAAAAAACCAGTGCATAGCCAACTTTTATTATCTTTATAAATTAAGAGTATTAAATGATAATGTTATTATTATACGTGATTCCATTTCAATTAATTGTTGTTCAATTATATTAAATCCCTCTATCATTTTTTGAATGTTAGTATCTAAATCTGAGGTCATCTTATCAATTTCTAAATTTTGAGCAATTTTCATTTTTTTCTCATATATATCCTTTAAATCAGGGTTTATTTCAGCCATTCTTTTTAAGTATTCTGCTTTATGTCTAACAGTACCTACATGCATATAATAATGTATAACAAATATAATACGTAAAATACTTATATATTTATCAACAAATTCTGGGTGCATCTTTATATTTTTGGCATATTTTGATGATAATTGGCATCCATAAAAAATCGGAGAAACTGGAAGATTAGATATTAAATCTTTAAACTTTTCAATATCTTCCCATTCTTTTTTATTTGATTTTTCAGGATATAATTTTGTAGCTATATAAAAATATAGAAGTTTGTATAAACATATAAAATACTTAGTGAAAATTTATTCTCCAGATAATCAATAATCCTATCTGATTCATTAATAAGAGTATCATGATCTTCAATAACTGGAACTAGGCATAGTGGATTTTTTTTTACATATTCAGGTTCAAAATTCTCATATTTTAAAAGTTTAACCACATGTTCTTGAAAAGGAATATTTTTTTCATGTAATGCAATTGTGACCTGCAATGATTATCATAGGATTGGATTATATATATAATTGTAATACTCTTTGGCAATAATAACATTGTGGCCAATAAAAATATACAATTTTTTCGTCACCTGACATAATTTTTAGAATTCGCAAACCATTATTACCCACTAAAAAAACTAATATATTATGATTAAATAATTTTTTTTAAATTCTAGCTTATTTACAAAGAATATTAATTAAAATAATGGTTGACTCCAGAAATAATTAATTATTTATAGAACAATTTATTTATATTAATAAACAGGAAAATAAGAATTATACTAATTATAAATTTTTCATTTTATAAAAAGTATTAAGCTAATCTATATAATATTATGGTAATTTAAATAATAATAAAAATATTTTTTGCGAATAATATTATAAATTAATATTATAAGAAAAAGAAATAGATCGTTTTTATAAAAGTCCTTACACTTAAAGCCATTTATACGCAAATCAATTAAATGCAATATTCTTAAATGAAAAAAATTCAACATTTTAAAAATTTTATTTAAAAAATTTGAAATATCATCATATAAATGATAAATAACCTGTCAAATGGGAATTCTCCAATAAATACGAACATTTGTGCTAACTAATATTGGTTAATTACGAATCAAGAGATTTTTTAAGTTTGTATCCTCTCAGTTTAAAATTCTAAAAGTGTTAAAACTTTTATAAAAATTAAATGAAATCGTTTTAGAATTTTTAAAATTTATAGAAATATGTTTTGCACACATTTTTGTTTTATATTCAAATATTGATTTATTTTATTAAAATTATATTTTTAAATTTGCAAATAGTAGACATGTACAACAAAATTTAATCGGCAGTCGGCGGTGCACCGGTTTTTAGAATTACTCGTTTAAAATATATTGTAGTTTTTCCCAAATATATTAAATACTGTATATTTTGGCAACAATAGTGCAAGAACAAATTAAGATCTTTTCTTCATTACGGAGAATAAACAGATATCTCAAAAGTACGACATCTGAAAATTGATACTAGCCTTACTTAATGTAAATCTAGATTTAATTCTCATTCAGAGCAAATCATTGAAAAATTAGTATAATCGCAAAGAAGATAAGTTCTAATAAATCTTTAATGTTCAAAAAATCATTTCAATTTATAAAATTATCCCCCCCCCCCACCCTGTTAAAAATTTCAGAGATCTTGAGCTAATCACGCTTTTCTAAAAAAAAGCAGTTGTATATGATCAGTTCTTAACAAGAACTTATGGCCATATATAAACTGATGAAACTTTTACATATAAAAAAAGAAGGGCATATACCTTTATTCAATAGATGCATAATTTTCCTCTTATAGCGCCGGAAAAACTGCCAACTCTACCTCCTTTTGGAGGTAAGTATCCTTTAGATCTAAGACAGTAAAATATTTTTAACGAATAATATACGTATAAAGATTTAAAAAGAGGGCACAAATACGAATTTCTAATATTTTTACTAACTTTCGTGATTTGTTTTGACCATAATGCTCTAGTTTTAATCGAGTTTTAATAAATTATGATCCCAGCAGAAACTAAACCCTCTAATTTCATTTCTATTGATCTAAAGCGGAGACGGTACTGCAGACCTGGGAACGATATTGCTTTCGCCGCATCTTTATATATTTTGTAGAATTATCTAGGAGCCCTGTTTTATCATTGAATAATTATTATCTTGATCAATTCAATAGGTCGATTATTCATTTTTAAGCTGTGATGGTTACATTGTCTATTTAGTCAACTAGTAGGTTCAAGTTTGTCAGCCTTACAGCAGAAATTCACATTTCTTTGGACGGAACTCAGGGGACAACTTTTTCTTTAGAATCAGAGGTGACATACTGCTAAATTTGGTATGACACTGGAATATATTATAATTACCAACAGACTCTTAGTTTTTGCATACACTTCTCCCCTTACATTTATCAGATGATTTCCATAAGCAGCTAACTGGCTGGTTTGTTGTGTCCAGGCCCATACGAAAGGGAGAGGGAATAACCATGGGCCACCAAAATTAGATTATCTTAGGAGTCACCAAATTTATTTATTAGGTAGTTTAAAATTGATATGTAGTTTAAAAAATTTGTATATTACATAAATTATGCTTAATATAACCTAGTTCAGCCATTTAACTTATATTTTATTACATTAATTAATTCCTATGAATCAAAAGTTTTGTGGTCAATATTCTTTATTTAAGTGTGTTATTTTAAAGATGCTTTTGCTACATTTACAAACGATGCAATTTATTCATCTTGATGATCATTTCTATTTTTCAATAAATATACTAAATAATATAGTATTGAATCAATTGAATTGGATATAATTTATTTTATTTTTGTGCATAATATAAATCAAGATCACTATAAAAAAATATTTGGTGCAATAAAAAATTATTTTTATAAAGATTTATTCCATAATATATGAGCATTTCAAATAATTGAGGTATAATAATATTTAATTTAATATAACACAGATTTATATAATGATCACGATTCCTAACATGACATAAGAATCGATAATTAATCAGATTTATTAATCACAAGATTTATATACAATTTCTTCCAAAATAAAACAGAATAATAATAATTAATTTGCTATTTATAAGGAAAAAAGTGGATTGAGTCATTTTTAATAATATTTTTTTAAAAATTCTTAAATGGCAAATTAAGTTTATTAAAGTAAATATTTTGTTATAAACAAATTCTTTTAAATTGCATTTAATATATTTGTTTAGGCAATAATAATTAAACATAAAACAATTAAAAATGTTGTTAATACAATAACAGTATTTCGTTTATATTTATCTATATATATATAATTAACATCAAAACATTTAAAAAAAATATTCCCTGAGAAAAAATAAAATAGAAATTATAGATCAAAAAGTATTAATGCTTCAATCTTAATTATATTATTATTATTATAATATTTACAAATTAAATTGGTTTATATTTGTTAATTTATATATAAAAAATATTATTATGCAAATGTTTTTATATTATTCACTGACTATATTAAATATAATTATGATTAAAAATACTAATAAAAGTAAAATGAGGTAGATAGGTGATCATGCTATTTTTAAATATTTAAAAGTATATGTTTAAATAAGTATCATAAAATCAAAGAGTTAATTAATTGTATTTTTGCGTTGAATTTGTAATAATAAATAACTTTTTTTTAAAACTCCTGAGTTATTTGTGTTTTTTCTGATTTTATAATAAAAAAAAAATTCTTGGTTATTAAAACCATACTGACAGAGTCATTTCTATATTAGTTTTCCTGATTTGCTTCTAAGGGAGTGGGCATCATAGGGGAAAAGGTTGTGTCACAGTCAATAACGGATGGTGATGTTTCTACGTTATTGCTAAGGCTCAACGCTCTTTTACAAGGGGTATTATAGATTTTATAGGAATTATCATGAAGGTATTCGCAAATTTGATTGTGGGAAGATGGAGAAGATGAATTAGCCGAAAATGAATTATTCTCAGAGTCAAGGTCTTTATTAAAGGTAGAATGGTTGTATTTCCGTAGTCTTTTACGTTTCCCGATACTGCTCTTTCTAGAGAGCGGAGAAGAGATGATGGAAAAGTCTCTTTGAGTTTCTTCATCACAGCTAGATTGTTTGCGATTGCTGGTCGTTTGTAAATCTGAAATTGTTGTGTAAGGTGCTGTATAATCAGGAGAGCTAGTGGCATAATTTGAATGATTTAATTCTGAACCAAAACTTGGGCCAACCGTGCTATTAACATAAGATGCGAGTTTCGATTTGTAGTAATTGTGAAAATGTAAATAGTAATCCTCGAAAAAGGAAGCACTGTAAGGGAAGCGAGGTAGGTAAGGATCAGATTTAGGTGCTACTTGATCGGGTAACTGTTTTTGTGTAAGAACTTCCGATGACGTTGAAGAGCGTTTGAAGGACAAGAGAGAATCGCATATGTCGTGTAAATTTTTAGCAGCCGATTGATTGGATAATCCTATCTTAGGTGTAAGAGATTTGTGCAACATCCTAGAACTGGAAGATTGCAAATCTATATCGTCATCATTTTCATCGCCCGAAGGTTTTAATAATACGTTCGAATTGTCGAATCCTAAATCACGGGAGATTGCACTTTGTTGCGATGATTGTGAATAAACGGTGCGAGGATTAGAGGGGTCGGAACGCGACGTCTGGAACGTAGTTGTGAGCGCCGTGTAAAGCAAAGAAGAATATGGAGGGTGAGAGGGGTCTGAATTTGGTGACCTGGACGGACTAAAATCTTGAGAGGTAAAAGGAACCTAAAAAAGGCGGTACGATGTTTAACATTTTATTAAACATGATATTATATGAAAGATATTGAAAAAAAAATTATTATTAAATAATAAGATTTTTTATAATAAAATTAATGGGATATATTTATTGCGAAGCTAAATCATTTCTACTAACATTTGTTTTCAAGTTGTTCAAAACTATGAAAAATTAGTTGATTTATGTTTTTCTCAAATAATTATTGAAAGATTATAATTCAAATTTTCAAATATCACTTGTCTTTTAAATACCCCCCCCCCCCCCCAGATTTGGTTTTTGAACCATTTACTATTATGTACAAAAAAAAATGAGGGATCGAAATTAAATCAAAGACCTCTCGAATTTAATAATTCTTATTCAATGTACCCTTGAAAAATGAGACAATCTTGGAAGGTTTATTTATGAAATTTTTATTAAAAAAAAGGATTCGTAATAATTTTTATTCATTCTAAAGTCAAATCGATTATTCTTATATGTTATCGGCAATGGGCATAAAAGCGAATATTAAATGGCAAATATAGTAATCCGCGTGTTGCCAATTCATGATCAAATTGTCTGAAATTTGTACGATAGGTATTCCTACTGGAATATTTCTCCATTTAATGAAAGCGCTAAGTTAAATGATCGTGTAAATTTCCAATTTTAAATAATCTAATTTCAATTTGAAGAACCTCTCCCGGAAATGTATCCCAGCATGTGTAAAAATACCTACTTTATTAAAATATGTCTATTACACACATTCGCGGTAACTCAAAATGTTTTATAAGCGGGTTATATATTTTTTATTTATAGGATGGATGCCTGTTTTTTTAAAAAAAATTTGGTCATAGAAGTAATTTCCAGGGCTAAAGGCCCGACCCTGGTATACTATTATTCAGTAAAAATGACAAAGTAAATACATTTTGAACGGGTTCGTCGATCAATTCTAATCGTCCCAAGCCTTCCAAAGTTTGCAAATTTATCCAACCTTTCCAGAGAACGAGCAAGCCGTCTAAAATTAGCCGTGATTTTAGGTGAACCTAAAAATAAAATAAAATCCATAAGATTTAGTTTTAATAATTTTGTTAGATTTCCTTAACTCATAACACCGGATGGCTCAAAAATAACTTCACGTTTCTAAATCTTATAATTTTAAAACGCGTCATTCATATTGTATGAAATTTCTGTTATTAAAGAATATATATGAGGCTTATAATCCTAATTTTTAGAATTTTATGAATTCATTTTTTTTTTCGTTAAATTTATAATATTTTTTTATCTCAATTTTCTTAAAAAACGACTAAATCAGAGGATATTAGGTTCCATATTTTTTAATAAATGAAATTTCATTTAAAAAAAAACAGTTTTTCTAGCTACCTGATATACTATAATGTTACATTGTCATAGAAAAGTTAAATATATATATATATATACCTTTAAAAATATAACTATATTTAATAAATAAAGTTTTTAATAAAACTTAAGGTCCTACTTGTCAGGATTCATAAGCCATTCGATTCAAATTTATGTGTAGCCATATCCATTTAAAACAACAAAATATTAGTTTTTAGCATATCCTTATTCACCTTAGTAGGATTTAAAGTAACGTCAAAATTAACGGGGTTACTTTTCCGAAAAAGTAACTTAACTGTAATCACTCTTGAATATCTTAGTCTCCCATTTAAACAGTGTAGATTCTTATGTACGCAATATTTAGTAATACCATTTACCGGTTTAAAAAATGAAACAACTCGCCTAAAGTGAAAATATAATTGACTCGTTTTATAAGTTATAACTATAATCCGCTTTCAACGTTTAAATTTCTAGTACTCGAGATTTCGAGAATGGTTAAACTGTTGTAATAAAATAATGTATAAGACATCCAAGGTAAAGTGGAATCGAAAGAACACTATATAATAAAATCAATGCTATATTGTATAATACAATTCCCATAATTATTACTTTGTTGTTTTCCCTGTCTATGAGCAAATTTTGGTCGGAAACGGAATGAGGTTGACCCGTGCAGTTGTTTTGGTTGGAGCATAAAATTAAAGGCAGACAATAACCGGTACTCAAAAACGACTTTCGATTCAGTTTTAATAAATTGTGGTTTAATAAAAAAATTAGACAATTTTCGATATATAGATTATGATCTTTTCTTTCTTTCTTTTTTTTCTTCTTTCTTTCTTTCTTTCTTTCTTTCTTTCTTTCTTTCTTTCTTTCTTTCTTTCTTTCTTTCTTTCTTTCTTTCTTTCTTTCTTTCTATCTTTGTAAAATGTATATTTAAGTAAAACTATGGTCCCACTTTTTTTTTGTTAAAGTAAGATTTATTTACAATTTCTATGAAGCCTTCTTGACAATCACGGAGAAATCTTATTTTGCGTTCTTCCAAAGGTTTGTTACGATGACCGATGTAAACAACCTAGAGGAAAAAATATTATAAAAAATCAATCTTTAAAATTTAACCATCAAAATATTCATTTATCATTTCCATATCATTCCTCATTTCACTATCACTATAAACAAGAATGATAACTTGAAGACTAATGTATAAGAAGACAAATAAAAGTTTTATTTTCAGATGTCAATTTTTTGGCTTTGATTCTTTCAAAAAATGGTAATAATATTATCTACTTGCACTCGGTTAATAAGATAATGATTGGTTTGGTTGCTTTTATATTATATTATATATTGCATTTCCTTTATATTTTGATTCCTTAAATTCAACGAATAACTAGGATAAACAGTTGGGTTAAGATCCCATGGATAGGGTCAGTTTATATTACATTTTTGGACCAGTAATTAGTCTCGCTAAACGATTCGATTACCGATTTTTAAAAACGGCTAACTCAATATTATATCTAGGAAAATATTACGCAGGTCTTAAATATTTTGCTCATAGATGGCACAAAGGTTTTGAAGTTATATTAAAGAAATCTTAAGGCTTAGGCAATATATTTCTAGCTAAAATATTGAGTTAACGTTAACAAAAATCGGCCAAATAGAGCCGTTTAAAAACTTATCAGTAATATACATTTGTATTTAAGAAAACATTTTCCCAAAAATTTTCAATTGTTTCAATAAATTAATCTGTTTTAAATCAAAATTCAAAATTTTCTTCAAAAATAAATACAAAATAGTCGAAGGGCATAAGCTTGATACGATAAAAAACTTATCAGTTATAACCAGAGTTTGGAACCGAAACCAGAACCCCCCCCCCCCATTTTTAATTTATATAAACCGGAACCATAACTCATTTTAAAATTTCCATAGAAGGTAATCTACGGGCAAAATGGCCGAACCGGTTTCTAGGTCTGTAGGTATCTGTATAGTTTTCTAGTTAGTTAATTATGAAACCGATATGGGCCAATAATCTAATAAATTCCGAAGGAAAAAAAATCTGAAAACATAAAGATAATTATAAATACATGTGTAAATAACACAAGAACATATCAAAATTATATTAATAAATGTTTGGTTTTATTATAATATTTAATCTTATATTTTAGTTCCAGGTTCTCCTTTCGACATCATAATGATAAATAAAAGTAAACTTTAAACATAGCCAAACCCTCCATAATCAAAACTTTCATTTAATGATATTTTTATTTCTCCGTGGGCGCTTAAGTAATTGGTTTTGTTTCTTGCGTGCACAGAAAAATGTTTTTAACCCAATTAGAGATGGGAAGAGATGGTCTAAGCGTAACTCTGCTGTTTTTATAAAGCGAAGAGGGCTATTGCGCTCACTATATACGTAAAAATAAAAATACCGAAATTTACAAATTTAATGATTTGTTTGTTCTTTACATTCGATTAATATTATTAATGTAAAAAATGACATTAACATAAATATATATATATCACATATTTATATATAAAATAAATTGAATGGAATGAATGGTCTTAAAAAGGAAACGAAAATCATAAACTGAAAAAAAACACGAAAAAAAATCGATAAATGACAATGAAAAATTAATAATTGAAGGAAATATTTGGGAAAGAGGGGTGGGGGGATTTTCATTAAAAATTTTCATTCCTTTAGAAAATGTATTTAAAATAATTCTTTTCTTTTTTTCTTCTTTCTATTCCTAAATTACTATATATTTTAATTAATTTATTTATTTTTCATATTGTGAGAAATCCTGAAATTGGGACTTTAAAGGATCCAAAACAATCGAAGTTTTATATTATTCCACAAACATAAAAAAAAATAAATAATGGCGCCTGGTTTCTTGCAAAATTTTTATAATATATCAATTTAATTTGGAAATTTAAACCCGACACGGCCCGAACTGATTTTTTTTTACAGAGCCTAATGCAGATCTAAAATATAAATGATAGGGGTTGACTCCGAGATTCGAAATTATATCGTAAGAGTTTTAAAGTTATGTTTTCAAAAAAGCTTGGTTCCGGTTTTGATTTTTATAATCGAATAATCTTAAAACAATTTCTAGAACCTTCGGGAAAAAATCATATTGAATTTTTTTTTGTCACAAAGTGTTTCAGAGGCATAGTAAGAATTTTTTTGTGACACCACCATTTAACGATTCATTCATTTAAATGTGTATCAATACAAATCTGCTGGTAGTACGCCATTTTAGTTTTCCATATAAACAATTTACATTTAAAACTTTGTGAAAACCTATATTTTTAGGGGAAAAAAAATCAGAGTTTCATTTTGCACGGGATACCAAAATGGCGTTTCACCAGCTGATTTTCTATACAATGACGTTTCAAATACATTATAAATAAATATCGATAGTCTAGATATGTATTATATGTCAATGATGTAATCCAAAATACATAATATGTCGTAGAAGTTTAGCAAATCCTGGACTATGCATCATAACCCCGGGTTTATAGCATGTTTTAAAAATTTATATCATCTATAACGCGCTAGTTTTTAATTTTAAAAGACCCGATTTTAACGAAATCATATTCCAGCCTGTTTAGATTTAGAATATATAACCCTCCGAATTTCAGATAATTTCTTTATAGTTTATTTTTTCAATTTAATTTAGAGAAAAAAACTATTATAAAAATCAATATAATTTTCAAAAAGTCGCGAAAAAATTGTCTAATATTCACGGGGTGTAAGTATTCAATATATCTATCGTCGGTAGAGTACTATAGTGCTACTGCTATATCCATTTTTTTTAAATATAATTTTTCAAAAGAGCATATTAGAAAAAAAAAATATTTCTTGTATTTTAGATAGGAGATCACACCATAATAATGAAAATCAAGGATTATTCTAAATTATATTTTAACATTTTATTGGTCATAAGTAGTATTATTAAATGGCTCGATTTTTGCCGAATTTTTATAAACGCTAACTCAATATTTTAGCCAGAAAAATATTGCCTAAGCCTGGAGAATACGAATAGTGTTGTTAAATGCCTATATTTAAGCCTATTTTTAAAAAAATGGCTAACTAATTATTTTATCCAGAAAAATATTATGGCTTAAAGATTTGACTCACAGATGATACAAATGTTTAGAAAACCTAATGACAGAATCTAGCGGCTTTGCGTAATATTTTTCTGGATAAAATATCGAGTTAACTCTTCATATCCGATAAAATCAGGTATTTCAAAATAACATGAAAAATCGGGGTCGCTGACTAATGATGAGTATGCACTATGTAATAACTTTACTGCTTGGTGCTACTCATGGTTATATTTAATTTTGTTTTATGATATATGAAAATAATATGAAAAGATATTTTATTTTTTTTTATTAAAGTTCATTTTTTTTTGAAGAAAAAAAAACCAGTGTTCACCATTGGAGTAAGGAAAATATTGTAGGATAGTCCTCTTACCTATCCCGCACTAAGCACGCGCTATAAATGGTTTAAGTTATAAAAACTAGCAGAAACCCCTGGCCAATCTAACGAATCACGAGCATAAATGTCCCAGACAAGCGTACCCCGGACAAAATTACATGATTTGAAAAAAAAAAATTATAATTTTAACAATATTTCCCCTTTTAAAGGTTTAAATTGTTTTTTTTTTTGAAAATTGATATATTTTTTGACCGATGTTTTCTGTTCGTGGGTATTTTTTTTTCAATGTCTTCTTGTCCTCAACATTTCTGTCCGTAGTTCCAATGAAGCACAGCTCTAATTTTTTTAATCCCTATGCCATTATATAACCTAGACTTCTTAGGAAAATTTCAATTCTCAAAAAAAAAATAACATTTCATTATTTAGAAACTACTTTGAACTGATTTTGCCGAATCTTTTATCACATTAATTCTTCGATCAAAAATGAATATAGCCCAATTTTAAAAAAAATGACGAAGTAAAGATTAAAAATAAATCGAATTAAAATTTTTTAACGGCAACAAGATTTTTTTTTTACCGAAAGAATGTTTTGTATTTGTTAAAAAACCAATAAAACGCAAAAGAAATTCAGATATTTAAAAATTTGACAATCCACACCTGATAAATATGTAGGATGATTGATTAATATAGTATTTATATTTATAATCATTTCGAATTTTTTAAAACCTTATTTCCTTTTTTCTTTCTTTTCATAAGGTTAGTTATAGGGTTGTTAAACGGCTCGTTTTGAGCCGATTTTTTAAAACGGCTAACTCAATATTTTACCCAGAAAAATATTATGCAAGCCATAAGATTTTGCTTTTAGATGGCATGAAGGTTTGAACACCTATTAACAAAATCTCGAAGCTTTAAGGCAGAAATTTTCTAGCGAAAATTTTGAGCTAGCCATTTTTAAAAATCGGAGCAAATCGAGCCATTTAACAACACTAGTTAGAGTATGAAAAGTGGAGAGAATCGTCTAAAAAGGCAATATTAACAAGGCCCCGTGGTTTTTATTTTAAATGATTAATAATCAGATTTATGTATAATCATAATATTTTTTTTAAAAAAATACCTGTTTATCAGTCAAGGAATGGGATTTGAAAACTTCTTCATTTTCAAAACGAGAAAACATGCAGTTAAGAGGATCGCAATGCCGATTATCAGTCTTTGTTAGACCTGCTTGACTAGAACTTGAGGAATTACGAAGAGGTGTTACTGAGGTAGCAAACTGATTTGTCGAAAGACTTTCTATTGAAGTTTTTTCAAAAAAAAATTTAGAGGAATTATTTTCTATAAGATTTGCGGCGTATTTAGTAGGGGGAGGGAGTAATGGTAAATGGTCATCATTTTTATCATTATTTAATAGTTGGATCGGATAAGTTTCCGGAAAACAAACTGGGGAATTTTGATTTGGAATAGGATTGGATGATATTAGGTTAGTAGGAATAGGATTAAGTATATTTTTTTGTAGGATCGCGACTGGGGAAGGTGATGTAAAATGAGGATGACTGTTTGTTTCAAATTTTGACGGGCAACCCGAAGTTTAATTTAACAATGGAGTACAGATGGTTCTTATAGTATCTGAAGAGGAATATGAGTAAGATTTTGCGGTCATCGTAGGTTATTGACAATATATGTGTAGTGGGATTAATAGGATAATATGTGTTGCATGGGGTGGAAGTGGTGGTAGGATAATGATAAGAAATGGGTATCAAGGTATCAAGCATGGTAAAAAGTTGTTTAGCCAATATTTTGAATTCGGGCGAGGCGAATTGGCGATCAATAATATACATTTAATAATCAATTTCTTTTTATTTATTTATACAAACGATGAACACCAAATCTTAAAATTTATGGAAATGAGGTAGATTGGTCGTTTTGTTATAAAAAAAAATCTTTTTGGATTTTCACATCTCCCGCGAATTTACAGGAAACACAATTCCATATTTTGAGGTAGAATTATCTAAAAAAAATTTTTTTTTAGATTTAATAGCCAAAATTTATATATATACTGTTAAAAGTATAAATAATTTAAGCACACTTTAATTTTTTTTGTGTGGTTATCGAAGTTATTTATTAAAGTTCAGAAATTTAAAGTCTAAATCAACGAGAATTTAATTTTCTAAGGTTAATTTTTTTTTTAAACCGTTTCCCGTTTTTTTTATTTTAAACTTTAAATTTCTGCCATTCTGGTGTCCCTTAAATAAAAAAATGTTATACATGGTTTTTTAAAAAAAAAAAATTATATATATATTTTTACCAAAAAAATCCGAATATTTTTATTTATAAAGGGAGGTAATATTTTATTATTCTTATTGAATATTATTATTATTTTTTAATATATAAAAAATATCTTAAAATAAATAAATAAATATCTAAAAAAAAAAAATCGCTTAATAATTGTTGAGAAATGAAGATGATTTTAAATGGATAAAAATAAATATAAAAATTTGTTTATCGAAAATAAATAAATTTGCTGATTTCTTTTTCTATAGATAATATTTAATTATTTATTATTTATTCAAATATCAATATTGTTTATTTTATTATTATTTTTATTATATAATTAAAAATTGACAATTTTAAAGCCGAAATAAAAATTATTAAAATATTTCTTAAATTTATATATTGAAATAATCGTCAACCATTTGGACAATGTAAGAAAGGGTGATGGTAGGCCTTAAAAGAGAAGAGATGAAAGAGAAAAAAAAATGAATTATGTGTATTAGAAAGAAATACTAATTAAAATATCAAAATATGTTCCATAAAAAAAACGTAATATAAAAAAAATTTGAGGTGCAGGTAAAAGAATTTTTTTTTTTAAAAAATAAATAATTTTGCCCTAAAAGCTGTTTTTAAAATAAAATAAAAAATCTATTAACAATTATTTTTATAAAAAGTTTGGGCGGGAATGGCAAAAAAAAATAGCAATGAATCAGCGAATAATGATAATTTGACAAATTTTCCAAATTGTTTGTTATAATTTGATCCATAATATTTCAAAAATTATATTTATCAGAGACCTGCAGGCCCGGCCCTAAGTCTGACCTGAATTCACTGGCCGGGCCATATTTTAATTTTTTTAAAATATACCCGGGCCGGGCCTAAAAATTTTTTTTTAAAAAAAAATCCGGGCCGGGCTGGGCAATATATTTTAAAACCAAATATTTGAAAGCTATAAAAATCAAAAATAAAATATATTTTAAAAAATCCGGGCCGGGCCTGAATTCGAATGTAATTTTCAAACCCGGCCCGATTCCAATTTACCGGGAATAATTTGCGTCCGGTCCTCCCAGATTCCAATTTTTTTTATTACGGTTGTCTGATCTGGCTATTTAACTAATAATGGGTGAGGATTTTGGTTTCATGATTTTTCTTATTATAGTTTATAAACACAAAAATGTAGTAAAAATGAGATTTGCCTAACTATGATCGTTCATTTGATAGTAAATTCGTCCATTATTTTGATTGATCCATTTAATAGTTGTTTATTAAGATTATATTTTTAAATATTGTTAAAATATTACTTGAGATTATCTGATTATATTAAATAAATGCGTAAATAGAATAATTACCTGCATAAAAATTCTTATTAATAATGATGTCGTCTACTTTGACCGATATGAACGGAAATGCGATCAAAGGATACCCTACCGAAGAAGAAATGGTATTTATGAATGATTGATCATAGCAAAGCGGGTCCATTTATTCAATTAAAATTATAAGTTAAATAAAATAAACTTGACTTTAGAATAATGTTATTTTTCTATCCTCTATTAAGCGTGCCTGGTATCTTTAATTTTTGCACCGCCAGGTCGGTTAATTTTTTTGCCCCGGCTCGGGTCAAATAATTTTTTATTTAAATTTGAAAGCCACAAGAAAAATAAAAAGCAAATTCCCTTTTTTTTAAACAAAATATAGCTTATATTTTAAAATTTGGAGAGAAAAAAAAATCAAGCTGGGCCTCGGTCCGAAAATCAAAATTTGATAATAAAAAGTCCTATCTGACCAAATCCGACTCTGCCCGGGTGGACTATGACATCCTAGCGGTTAGACCAGGAAACCCATGCGGGTGTATCGGGACATCCTTGTGGATGGACTGGACATTCTTGCGAACCAGGACATTCATGCAGAGCTCTAATATAGATTCCTCTCCATATATCTCCATGGGAAATTTCTTTTATTTGTGGGCATGACCAGATATTTTTTCATATGAATTTATAAAATAGTTTTTTTTCTTTTTAAAAAAATCTACGGACTAAGTCAAAGGCTAAAAATAAAGAAATAAATCAACCCGAAGATGAAACAATAACTCAAAGAGGATCTTTAACAATGTCATCTCATTTGTCAATGAATTAAAAAGGGCCATTATTATGAGTACCCTTGAACCTATTTTGTTCAATACCTTTTTTTATGAGGAACATAAATGTATATCCCTCGAATATTTATTTTGATTATTTTCTGTAGATTATATAATTTTCGGATATTAGAGAAGAGTTTTAAAAAATCAGGAGTCATTTTATCCGGTGGCCCTAATAGTAATTAATATTTCAAGCTGCCAATATTACGGGAACATTTTCCGATTATTATTTACGTTACCTCTTATCTTTTTTTTAAACTTTTTTTAAAACCAGTTATCTAACTAACTCTTGAGCTAGCTGCTCTGGTAGATTGCTTTAATTTTCAGGAGGAAAAAAACTGTTACCACCGTAAATCCAACCCTTTTAGCTTGTGGGTTTCCTTAAATTACGTCACTTCTGGACCACAGCGATCATTCAAAATACACTGATTTTTTTTTATGTATTCAGCACTATTTACATAAATTAGTTAGCATGAAAAACATATTATATACAATTATGCAAAAAAGTCAAAAGCGGTTGCGCAGATTATATACCAACGTAGTATTGTTAAACGGCCCTATTTGGGTCGACTTTTAAAAACGGCTTGATTAATAGTTTAAATAATATTATGTAAGCCTCGAGATTTGACAAGCAGAGGTCCAAACCTTCCTACTATATATGAGCAAAGTATCCAGGCTTACGTAAAATTATTTCGGCTAGTATCTTAATCGTGCCGTTTAACAACCCTACAGCAAAATTTCCTTTTTATTAAAATTGGAGTATATTTGTCAGCATTTTTATCAGATTATCATCTGACCCACATGACGTCAGGCCTTAGCCAATATTTAGTAGTTATCCTGCATTCGTAACGCGTTTGCAGCGAAATATACAAATGTTTTATATACTCCGCCGCGAATTCGCGCAAGGTTCGATAACCTTTATTCGAAAAAAAAAATGGCTCAGGTCTAATAACCTAATTTTTTTTTTCATAAAGGCCAATTTTTATTTCGTTAATATTTTTTTTTTAAGGCGCCATATTTTTTTTAAAAAAAATGACAAATTGTGAATTTCTTTGAATATTTTTATTAGGTTTTAAAAAATTTTGTTGAATAAATTCCCTTTATATCGGGGAAAAAATTACTTGAAAATCAGATTAATCAGTGTAATTCGTAATTTGTTTAGTGTATATTTTAATTTTTTTACCTTTTACAATTCTTGGAAGGAAGATGTAGCGGAAAGCAAACATTTTTTAAGAAAAGAAAGATAAATAAATATCAATTTTCTCGATAATCATTTAATCTCATATTTAAATTTATTCAATTATCGTAAATAAAATATTTACAGAAATAAATAATAAAAATTAATAAAAATAATAATAAAATAAAATGAAAATTAAATTTCTTAGAAATATGGCGGGATGGCGGGGTTTTCCCCAAAAAAATCAAATAAACAAACAAATAAACAAAAAATTAATTTTTGAAAATGTTATTTTTTTAAAAATTATTTTCTCCTTTTGTCATCGTAATTAAGAAAGAAAAAGTCTAAAAAGTAATGTCTACGTTTTTTTTGAAGAAAGAAGACAAATTCGAAGAAAAGAAAGAAGAAAAGATAAAAAAAAAAGGGGGGGGGGTGGGGAAAAAATCGATAAATAAGATCTATTAAAAAATAGCTTCTCCACTGGAATACCAAAAAAATATTATTAAATATATTATTTTTCTATGGAAACTCAATATTTTTTTTTTATAATTTGGCCGGAAATTTCAATGAAGGAAATTTCTATTAACCTAAGCCATTCTATCGAATAATATATTGGTTCCCTTCCCTTCCGATAAAAAAATTTGATAAAATTGGCGCTATTATAAATTTTAATTGAATATTTTCTTTAAAATTTCATATTTTGAAAATATTTTTTTAAAATTTTTGCCGGAAACGTATTCTAGAACGTGTAAAATACCTGCCTGATAATATTTTGAATTTTTGACGTGAACTTTTGAACCACATTATTTGCATTATTTTTGGGACAATGATTTTTGACGCAGTGGCTTATAACAAGGGGGGGGGAGTAATGTTGGAGATCACCCTCGTGGAAAATATGTTTTGGTAAAATTTTGTGTTTATATAATATATATAGATGAAAATTTGCCTTTCATTCCTTTATAATTATTTAAAACTACTTTTATTTCTAAAAAATCCTCTCAGAAATTTATTCTATTTAAAAAATGCGTGGAAAAAATAAATATTAAACATAATAGGAACCATAGGCCAGGATTTTGGTAAGGGGAGGGGGAAACACTATTGGGTCGGGTTTTTCCGCATAAATTTTATTGTAGGCCTTTAGATCCATTTATTGTAGGCCTTTGGCGACATTAGACTTTTGGTTTTTCACTTAAAATTTTCAATTATAGTTGTCATCAAATTCTTCTTTATAGTGATATATTGTATACATTATGGGG